CTGATGAGCCTCTCCACAGCAGCCTGTCCTCTAAGGGTCTGTGCTACAGGGTCTCAGCGGGGACCTCCTGCTGGACGGTACACTCAGCCAGCAATCCCGGCCCCCTCCTCCTCAGCCCTGCGCAGAAGCACATGGTGGGCACAGGGGTCCCAGGGCAAGGTCCCTGAGACATGGCCTGTGTAAATGGAGGGGCACAGTCTTCATGAAAATTTGCACTTTGTGTTGTGAGCACAACAGGGGCAAACATAGGGAGCTAAGGGGGTTAGAGGGTGCTCCAGAAGACTTCCTGGTGGTGCAGGAGACAGGCACTGAGAAAGTAAGCAGGCCACGGGGGAGAGCTGATGGGAGGACATCACAAGGTGAGAGAAGAGGGGACAGAGGGGGACGTGACCTGGCCGCACAAGGGCATGCTGATGCCAGCTCCTCTGAGTGCTGCACATGTTCAACTTCCCCCTCATTAAAATTCTGGTAGCTTGAAATTGGCCTCAGTGGAAGTACTTATACCATGGGATTGGCAAATGTTACAAATGAGGACTGATTTGTTTATGGGGAGCAAGTTGAGCAGCACGGTGTGGGACGTGTGCATGAGGCACCAGGCACTGGTCAACTTTAGAACTTGGTTCAAAGGAACAGAACTTTATGTTGCAGATCCTGGGCTTCCTTGTGGCACCAAGAAAGCTGTATGCCTTCAGGAAGGGGTATAACCAAGAAGCTGAACGCTGCCAGAAACTTCCAGAACCTTCTGGCACTCAGTCCCACCTTCTTGGGACTTCTCTCTGTCTTGTCTTTCCCTCATTTCTCTCTCTCCCCCTAAGGTGTCTCTGTATCCCTGTTCCAGGGAATGTGGTTGACATGGCTCTTAAATTTTAAACATAATCACTTAACTCCTGAAAAAGACTTATTTCTCCTTCTCTGTTCTAGTTCCAAAATGTCCTACAGAAAAACTGGGATTCACTCCCTTTGACCATGTATTTGCTGCCGGACCAACCAGTGGTGGCAGGGGAGGCGTGCTTCAGGGAGGTAACTGAAATTGGTCCTTATTCAGTCGCAAGCCCATCCCAGAACCAATCTACGGTGGCGGTGGCTGAAGGTCACAAGATCACTGCTGCTTCCAAGAGAGCCAGGGGGAATGTGTGGGGCTGGCAGTTCCCAGAAGGAAGGAGGTATGAGGCAGAAAAGCAGTAAGCATTGAAATGAAGAAGAGTAGAAGGTAAGCCGATAAGGTGGGCAGACAGTAAGGTGGACAGACGTCTGTGTGGCAGGCTTGGGCTGACCCCAGCAGGTGACCCAGGCCCAGGGTGGGGCTACCTGGGGAGGAGAGCCCTGCTCAATTTCTGGGGGCTTTGGTTTGGTTTGGTTTTGGTTTTAGTTTTTTTACACTGGCTGAATTTTTATTACTTTTATGTACAGAAACCTCAACAGTGTTACTTGGCCCAGTTGGGTGGCCAGTGCTTTATCCTTTGCCCTCTCCAGCTTGGACACAGGATGTTGCCTCCCAGTGATGAGGGATCCCATCCTATCTGCCATGTGCAGCTGGTCCTGAAGGCTCCCACCAGTTAGCCAGAGCTCCACCATCTTCCAAGCTGACCTGTGTGAGGTTGGCAAGGGGTGAGGTCTTCCTGTGGATGGGACACCTGGCCTGCCTCCCCCTGGACAGTGCACTGCTCTAACAACATGAGCAGACAGTGCGCTCGATGAGATCCACGTCTTGCACAACCACTGCCAGCTGAGCCTCCTTCCTTCCACCAGGGTGGTGATGGGATCCACATCTCCTCGGGGGACAGGTGGCCTCTGAGTGGGGCATCTAGGCCAGCAGCCTCTGCTTCTTCTCTGGCTTTTCCCCTGGTCTGTATCTGTGAGCCAGCTGCCGCAGGGGAGTAGTTGTTGGGCGGTCCAAGGCTGGGTCCTACTTAACCGCAGGAAGCACTTTCAGACCATGCAGCCGCCAGCACCGTGTAGTGGGGCCATTGACATTCTCCCTCTCCCTCTGCACCCCCCACCCACACTGACTGTGCTCTCTCTTTTTCTCAAACCAATAAATAAAATCTCTAAAACTAAAATTAAATACACATTCAGAAAAGGACTAATAAGTGAACAGCCCAAAGAGTTTTCACAAACCAAACAGATTATATCTGTTTATCCAACACATGAATCCAGAAAGAAAATTATATCAATCCAGGAGGACCCCCAACCCGCACCCCAACCCCCCCCCCCCCCACTGCATTGTGCTCCCTCTTGGTCACTAAAAGCTACGGATAAGCACAACCTTTGGTTCTAACAGGATAGATTGGTTTTTCCCTGATTTTATACTCTTGTCTATAAACAGATTCATATGGCCTGTTCTCTCTTGGGTCTAGCACCTTTGGCTCAACATTATGGATTCGATGTTCATCCATCCTGTAGCAAGAAGCCGTAGGTCATTCATCTCAGCGGGCGAGCACACTACACCTGAACTATTCTTCAGTCTAAGAGCATTTGGGTAGCTTGTGGTTTGGAGTCACTGTGAATAGTGCTTCTATGGTCCATCCAATCAGCTGTGAATACAAAACTAGTCCTAAATTCCTTATTCCTAAACTATTAATTTATTTAGTTGCAAGGAGCAGGTCAAAGTTTTTAACCAGTGCTGGATGTAGCCAGTCTAATGTGAAGGACTGTGCAGCATGAGACAGAGAGGAAGAACAGAGAGGGAGGGAAAGAAAATACAATAAAAGAGAATAACTTTGCCTCAGGACAAATGAACTCGGTGGCAAGATCACAAAATGCTGAGTGCCTTAGTCTCCGTGGGACACTCTGCCTCTGTAACCTCGTTTCCTTCCCTCACACCCAACCCCATGCAGCAATAATAGAACAGTGTAATGTTTCATTTAATCCACCATTAACACCACGGTCACACTTCTCTTGGCGTCTGCCCATATTACTGCTTTTGTTGGACAACAAATCCAAAATTTAATTATTCATTTTGCTGAAAGAGACCCTGTTGTGTTTTAAATGGGTCCTCTCTCCATTCTTCCATTCATCTCTCCAGATACATTTGCCTTTGAGATTGGAATTGAGCCTATTCATTATCTGGGAAGGAAAATAAGAAATAATCCCTACATGAGGCAATGCATAGTGGGTCCTCAGAGTTTGTCAGAAACGCACCCACACAGTTTTCCACTGCAAGAATTTTCCACCTTATTAGAGTTGACATCTAGCCCCACCACTGAATTGGAAAAAAGAACTCTTTTAAAATAAACTGGCAGAGCACTGATGACCGTGCCATCTGCATGAATTATTTTAACTTTGGAGTTTAATGAAGGATGTAGTAGCAAATGTTGTATTCCCATCTCGTGGCTTTACCCATGGCCATATTTCCTGTTTCCTGCTTGAAATTAAAGGTGAATGGATGAGGGAAGCCGGGACAGGGGTGAGCCCCCAGCACTCAGTGACTGAACCGTGACAATGGCATTATGCAGACTTCTGGGGGCAGTTAGGAGGCAGGTGGAAATACACGGTCCAGAAACACTGACAGCTAGGCCATTGACTCTATAAGCACTTTAGGACTTTGGGAGAGAAGTTCTGCCAACAAGCCTAAACAATTTTTCTATATTATCAATCAGTTATTTGTTTGAAGAGGATACTGTTTTGAAAAGCTTTTCAAAAAGCTGAACTCCTGAAAAAAAAAAAAAGCTTTTCATTTTAAAGTAGCTTTTGGCCCAGGAAAGAACACTAGACCAGGAGCCCAAAGACCTGTTTGCCAGTCTTGTCTCTGCCACAGGTTAGCTGTTGGACTCTGAGCAGCCTCTCTGGGCCTCTGTTTCTCCACTGAGGAGTCTCAAATAAATACGACAATCAATGCAAAAGTGTTCTCTATAAACAGCATCATCCTCTCTCTACCAATGAGTTAAGCTTGTGACAAGATATTTCCCTTGGGAAAGTAACTCTTATAGAAATAATGTGCCAGCTAATAATATAAATGTTTGTGCTCTGTCCTTCTGTTAATTTTTCTATTCTGCTTATGGCTTCTGAACCATGTGGAAGATCCACATGCACACGTAGGTGAGGCGTCTGGAAACACAGCAGTGCTAGATCTTCCCCCCACTATGATCATGGCTTGATTGTTCTACAACCACAGGGTATGACCCGGGTGAGCAGCCAGGGATGGTGCAAAGGAGGATGAGGCAGGGGCCCTGGGCTTCCAGAGTAGAGTCAAACATTTTTTATGGAAAGATAATTTGGAAGAAAGTAAAAAGAGACTAATTCTTCTCTCATGGAAGGTTGGCAGCCCTTTAGGGACACCTTGCCTGCAATCCCTGAAGGAAAGAACTCTGCAATGGGGTCTGAGAGACACTGCAATCACTAAGTACCAAAATTGTCCTCTCAGGCTTTTTTGGTCAAATGGAACCCAATGTGATGAGCACTTCTAATATTTAAACAGATGTGTATGTAGATATCAGGTCATTTTTCCAACACCATGGATGACCTTGGACAGCACTGTGGGCCTGAGAACTGGGATGGGAGTGTAGTAAGCAGAGGTAATAGAAACGCTTTGCAGAAAGCCAGCCCAGGTCTGGGTTTAGGGGTAGTAGGTCAGTCTAGTAATAACCAAAAATATAAGCCAATATTAATGCAAGTTAAAGAGTGCAAAATATGGAAACCCATAACTCATGAGTCCAGTATGCTCATTTTACAGGTAGGAAAATAGACCAGGGAACGAGTAAGTGATTTGTCTGAGATCACTTAGCTGGGGGCAGAGTTACATCAAGGATCCAAGCCCCCCATCTCCTCACCAACCCCTTTCTCCAGCCTTCTTGCTTCTTTCTTCCCAGAAAGGCTCCTGTTTACTTAGCACCCTAATGTGCCAGAACTGTGTTAAGTGTTTACATGGATGTCTTTTATGATCACAGTGGTATGAAACTAGAAATTAATTGCATGAAGAAAACTGGAAAATTCATAAACATGTGGAAATTAAACTACATGCTACTGAACCTTTCCGGTGGTGACGACCTCCCCATGAGACCATGCCCCTTGTGAAGGACCTCCTGCATCCATCCCCAGAAAAGAAGAGGAAGCACAAGAAGCAGCGCCTGGTGCAGAGCCCCAACTCCTACTTCATGGACATGAAGTGCCCAGGATGCTACAAAATCACCACCGTCTTCAGCCATGCACAGACGGTAGTTCTGTGTGTCGGTTGCTCCACAGTCTTCTGCCAGCCCATGGGAGGAAAAGCAAGGCTTACAGAAGGATGGCCCTTCAGGTAGAAGCAGCACTAAAAGCTCCCTGAATCAAGAGGAGTGGGACACTATCCGAATAAACAGGTTTTGGATTAAAAAAATAATAATAAAATAAAACACATGCTACTGAACAACCGATGGCTCAAAGAAGAAATAAAAAAAAAAAAGAAAACAGAAAGTACCTTGAGACAAAGAAAAATGAAAATGTAGCATACCAAAATTTGTGGGATGCAGTAAAAGCAGTTCTAACAGAAAACTTCATAGCAATACATACCTACCTCAATAAAACAAGAAAATTCTCAAATAAACAACCTAAATTTACACGTCAAGGAACTAGGAAAAGAAGAAGGCCTGAAGCTTGTAGAAAGAGGAAATAGCAAAGGTTAAAGAGGAAATAAATGAAATAGAGACTAAAAGGAGAATAGAAAAGATCAATGAAACTAAGAGCTGTTTCTTTGAAAAAATAAATAACCCTGACGAGCCTTTAGCTAGATTCACCAAAAAAAAAAAAAAAAAGAGAGAGAGAGGACTCAAATAAATAAGACCAAATATGAAAAAGGAGATGTTACAACTGATGTCACAGAAATACAAAGGATAATAAGAGACACTATGAATAATCATAAACCAACAAATTGGACAACCTAGAAGAAATGGAAAAGTTCTTAGAAATATACAACCTATCAAGATGAATCATGGTGAAATAGAAAATCTCAACAGACTGATTACCAATAAGGAGACTGAATCAATCATTAAAAGCCTCCCAAATAAAAGTCCAGGACCAGTTGGCTTTATTAGTGAATTCTACCAAATATTCAAAGAAGAGTTAATACCAATCCTTCTCAAATTCTTACAAAAATAAAAGAGGAGGGAACTCTTCCAAACTCATTTTACGAGGCCAGCATTACCCTGGTACCAAAACCAGACAAGGATGCCACAAGGAAAAAAAAAAAGACTACAGGCCAATATCCCTGATGAACATAGTTGTAAAAATCCTCAACAAAATATTAGCAAACTGAATTCAACAGTACATTAAAAGGATCCTACACTATGATCAAGTGGGATTTGGACCACAGATGCAAGGATGGTTCAATATCTACAAATCAGTGTCATACACCACATCAACAAAATAAAGGAAAAAAACATGATCATCTCAATAGATGCAGAAAAAGCATTTGACAAAATTCGTCATCCATTTATGATAAAAATACTCAACAAAGTAGGTATAAAGGGAATGTACTTCAACCCATATATGTGGGTTTGTCATAAATGGTTGACACATGACAAACCTATAGCTATTATCATATTCAGTGATGAAAAACTGAAAACTTTTTCTCTAAGATCAGGAATAAGACAATGATGACCCTACTTCCTACTTTCATTCAACATAGTATTAAGAGTCTTAGCCACAGTAGTTAGGCAAGAAAAAGAAACAAAAGGTACCCAAATCAGAAAGGAAGAGGTAAAACTGTCATTAATTACAGATGACATTATACTATGTATAGAAAACCCTAAAGACTCCACCAAAAAGACAGAACTAATCAATTCAGTAAAGTGTCAGGATACAAAATCAATATACAAAAATCTGTTGCATTTGCATACACTAACGATGAGTTAACAGAAAGAGAAACTAAGAAAACAATTCAATTTCAACTGAATCAAAAAGAATAAAATAAATACCTAGGCATTAATTTAACCATGAAAATGAAACACCCTTATATTGAAAACTATAAGACATTAATGAAATAAATTGAAAAAGACACAAATAAATGAAAATGCTCATGGATTGGAAGAATCAATATTGTTAAAATGTCTGCTCTACCCAAAGCAATCTACTCATTGAGTAATACAACCTTTATAAAAATTCCAATGACATTTTTCTAAGAAAAGAACAAATCAACCTAAAATATGTATGGAACTACAAAAAACCCAAACAGCCAAAGAAAACTTGAGAAAAAAAGAGTAAATCTGAAGACATTATGCTCCCTGACTTCACACTATATTACCAAACTGTAGTAATGAGAATAATATGGTATTGACATAGAAACAGATACATAGATCAATGGAACAGAATAGAGAGCCCAAAAATAAACCTACACATTTATAATCAATTAATTTACAACAAAGGAACCAAGAATATATGAAAAGGAAAGGACAGTCACTTCAATAGATAAAGTTAGAAAAAATGGACAGCCATGTGCAAAGGAATAAAACCAGATTGCTATCTTACACTATATACAAAAATTAACTCAAAATGGATTAAAGATTGGACCAAACCATAAAACTCCTACAAGAAAACATAGGTGATAAACTAGATGTTGGTCTTGATGATGATTTTTTTTAATCCAACACCAAAAGCAAAAGCAACAAAAGCAAAAATAAACTATTGGAATGACATCATACTAAAAATCTTCTGCACAGCAAAGGAAATCATCAACAAAGTGAAAAGGCAACCTATGGAGTGGGATTAAATATTTGCAGGTGATATATCTGATAAGGGGTTAATATCCAAAATATATAAAGAAAACACAACTCAATAGCAAGAAAACAATCCAAATTAAAAAATGGGCAGAAGATCTGAGTAGACATTTTTTCAAAGAAGACATACAGATGACCAATAGATACATGAAAAGATGCTCAATATTAGAGAAATGCAAATCAAAACCACGATGAGATGTCACCTCACAACCGTCAGAATCTCTAAAATCTTAAACACAAAAAACAACAGGTGTTGGCAAGAATGTGGAGAAAAAGGAAACTTCATGCTCTATTGGTGGGAATGCAAAAGTGGCGCAGCAACTGTGGAAAACAGTATAGAGGCTCTTTAAAATTTTTTTAAATAGAAAGAAAAAGTTTTAATAGGAATAATTTACAATCCAGCAATTTCACTTCTGGGTATTTATCCACAGAAAACAAAAACAATAACTCGAAAAGATTTCTGCATCTCTATGTTCATTGCAGCCTTATTTATAATAGCAAATGGATGGGAACAACCTGTGTCCCTCAATGGACAAATGGGAAAAAATAGTAATATATAGAGAGAGAACAGATTGGTGGTTGCCAGAGGCAGGTGATGGGAGGTGGGATGGGAGATTTTTTCATTGATTAGTAATTAATCCTTACCTTTTTGCAAGAGAAGAACAGGGAGGAAGAAGAGAAGGAGGAGAGTTCTTCCTACCTTGGTTGTCCTCCCAGGAGCCTCTAGGTCATGTTCTTTTCAGGATTTGTGACTCCGGCTTCCTCACAAACAGATACCTGTCACCAGGCCCTTCCATCCTCTCTCACATTATGAGCTTTGCTTGTGCTTCTGCTCACTCGTGCTCATGCATGTGCTTCTGGGGAAGGGGTTCCACCTGCAGCATTGAAGTCTGGCCATGCTGACAGATGGTAGGTTCCTTGTGGCCCTGACTGCTCCAAATCCTTGCAATTTGCAATTTCTTTATTAAATGCTGCCCAGCCTCTTCATGGTCAAGAATTTCAATCCAACACCCAGAACTCACTGTCATCCTCTTTGCCCACACTTCTGTCCTAGGCTTTAGGCTTTCAGGGGCTTTTCTAGTTATTCTCACTGCATAAGAAATTACCCCAAAACTCGGTGTCCTAAAGCAACATTTATTTTGCCCATGAATCTATAGTCTGCAAGGCTGGGTGGAGATAGTTTGCTCCACTTGGCTTCAGCTGGAATGGTTTGGAGCTGAGAACTGGAATCTCCTGAGGGCTCCCTTACTCACGGTTTGGTGGTTAATGCTGGCTGTCAGCCTGCCTGATACTGTTGGTAGAAGCAGCTACACGTGGTCTCTCCATGTGGCCTGGGCTTGCTCACCACATGATGGCTGGGTCCCACAGCAAGTGTCCTGAGAGACAGAGTGAGCCAGATGGGAGTCATACCACCTTCCGTGATCTAGTCTTGAAGTGTCACTTCCATCACATCCTATTAGTTAAGGTAGGTGCAGATCCTGCCCCCCCACTCACCACCCAAACCCAGCCCAGTTTCAAGGGGGAGGAAATAGACTCCACCTCTGGGAGGGCGAGTGGTGTTGGGCGAGTGGTGGTGTTCTGGGAGCACACATAGAAGCAAAGATGTTTCTGTGCCTTTTGGGGAAAATATGGTCAGCCACAGAGACACTCACTTGTGATGGTGATGTTGTGGGTTCTCCTGGTGGAGAGCTAATCATGATCGGAGTAGTTAGGGCAACCTTAACTTTTTTTTTTTTTATTTATGATAGTCATACAGAGAGAGAGAGAGGCAGAGACATAGGCAGAGGGAGAAGCAGGCTCCATGCACCGGGAGCCTGACATGGGATTCGATCCCAGGTCTCCAGGATTGCGCCCTGGACCAAAGGCAGGCGCCAAACCGCTGCACCACCCAGGGATCCCAGTTAGGGCTACCTTAAATGGCAAGTTTCAGCTTTCTTGTTCTCTGACTTAAATGTTTAAAATTAAAAATTCCCAAGAATTTTATGGAGAAAACAGAGCACACATTCATATGCTTTCATAAAAAATATTGTTTGTCAGGAATGAAACAAGATTCTTATTGTTTATGCCAGCACAGAGTGTGTTCTTACATTGATACTTGTTCTGACACTGGTAGGAGACATGATTTTTCAAGAGCTTTCAAAATAAATTCTCTTGCCGTCTGCACACACATTTCCATCTGTTCATGGCTGACATGGGAAACAGTCCAACTTCCTTCAAGGTCATTTGAAGCAAACTTTTGTTGCACAGCAGTAAACATTGTCACTTGGTAACAGACTTGTAGAAATTTTGGATGGATGCATTTTGATGCACTTCAACCCACAGCCCTCTTGGATCTGCCTACAACTTCCCACTGACACACTTGTGAAAGCTACATCTCAGAAAAGCAGGAAAACATAAACTAATTAACCCATGAGTTGTGTTCAAGATTGACCAGCCCCACTGAATTTGCCTCAACAGGAAAGCCCAAACCTTGCGCTGCATCATGGAAGTGCACCACAAGATTGGAAGTGGGCCATTTGCCTGGTGTGGGCGTCCTCTGCCTTGTGACCTGG